TCCCCCAGCTGTCGACGAGAAGGCTGGCGCCTGCGCCGACGACAGCGATGCGAGCGAGGAATCTGTTGCGGAGCGCTTGCGCACGAAGGCGACAGGCAAGGGCAAAGCGGCTGGCCGCATGCCGCGCCCCGCAGCTTCGGCCTCCGCTGCAAAGCGCCCCGCGTCGGCCGCCCCTTCGTCGGGCGACGCCGATCCGCCACCGATGACGAAGGCGAAAGAGGCCAAGAAGGGCGGCGTCACAGAGAGTGATTTGCCAAAGGGCTTCAAGCTCAATCTGAAGGAGTTTCTCTCCAAGAGTGTCGCAGCAAAATACCCGTCCAAGGGCGCATGCACCTCCGAGCTATACACGGAGGGTGGGAAGCAGGCCAGGGATAAAAAATTGAGCTCGGACGATGTGAAGCTCGCCCAGAAGGTCGCGTACGGCATTGGCTCATCTTTCTGGGTCAACTGTGGCTTGTAGGGGCGCGTGCGCCGTTGCAGGAGCTCGCAGCGCTAAATACGAGGCAACGATTGCATTCGTGCACGCGGCGAGTGCACGCGTGCAGCCGCGCATGCCGTATCTTTTTGCGATGAAATATTGCCAACCTTATTATTTCTCTTTCCCCCGCTCTTTCTCTCGCTCTCTATCTAGCTTTATCTCGCATTACGTTCACCCGCCATCATTCCCAATCTTGCCATAGCGTTCACTTTCTATGCTATCCTTTTCCGCCACCACTCCCCCTCTATATGCCCCACGCATATTTATATACATATATATATATATATATATATATATTTATATCCCATCTCTCTGCCCAATATCCTTACATATAAGCCCTCTCTATACAAAGAGCCCTTTCTCCTCGAACACATCCCATCACACTCTCTCTATATATAGCTCTCTTTCTCTCTCTCTCTCTCTCTCTTCCTCGCGCTCGCACGTTCTCCCTTTCGCTCCATTTCATTCTCCCTCGTTATCGTGATCTCATTCCCCTCTATATATCTCTCTCTCTCTATCTCTCTCTCTCTCTCTCTCTCCTGCCACACCTCCCGCCTACCCCTTCTCACCTGCATCCGATTGTCTCCTCAGCCCTCTGATTATCCATCCATCCACCCGCCCGCCCTTTCAGCCTACCAGCGTCGTCGCATCGCCATCCCCCGCACGCCGCGCTACCACCGTAAGATGAGAGCGGCTATTGTAGGATGACATATTGTGTTATTATTGAGCTCTTCACCGATGGAAATCCGTTGATCGTGTCGCGTGGCAGACTGTGGGTTGCGCGATTCTCGCGCGCCCCTGCCCCAGCCCACGCCCATCCCGATCCCATGATGCATCGCAGTTTGGCTCTGCGCTCGCTTAGCGTTTAAGCTGCTGCGCGCGTGGTTGCGGACTGTTTGAGATGGTGCGCTCGGAGATGGAGAAAATGCTGCAGAAGCAGCTGACCACCGTCAGGAAGGAGAGGTCGACGGCAGAGAGGCAGCCCGGAACCCAGAAGGTGTACTTCCTCAAGAAGATGCTCACGCAGCAGTCGACCTTCTTCCTTCAGTCGCTGTCGCGCGTCAGGGCCAACGGCCTGCCGACGGTGGAGTGCCAGAAGGTTGTGAATAAGTTGGTCGGGTCAATCATTCCCAAGCCAGAGACGAGTGAGGTCGGCACCCATACGGACTTGAGGCTGTCGCAAGGCATTGAGCCCGCGAGGCTGCCCAAGCCGCTGACGGCGTTGGATGAGGGGTCGGACTCGAGCTGGGACGGGGGCAGCGAGCAGCTGGGGTCGATGTCGGAATGAGCGCAGCTAGAGGCATGTCTTAGCCCACAGATTTACTGCCGTTGTTGCAGCACAGCCCGTTTTACTGCTGGGAGGGGAGATCCCAGAAAATGTGTTCCATCATTCGCACGCGTGCGTTTAACCGCGTCTAAATCCGCCACCGTGCCGCGAGGCGCGGAGTGGGAGTGCCCTCGTGCCCCTTGTCAAATCCTCAGAGCCTCAGTCCTCAGTCCTGTGAGGAATCATTATAAAGGGGACCAGAGCCTCAATTTCCAATTCTCTCGGGCCTTCCCGCGGTTCACCTGGGGCTTCTTGCAATTTCCCGCGTGATTGTTTCGAGCTCAAGCGGGCCCCGAGACGGGCCAAGAAGGCACCAAAGAGGCCCCGAAGACGGCCCAGGCCCCGAGACGCAAAACGAGCGCTCCACGACGCCCAAAATGGCCCCAAGACGGGCCCAGAGGCCGCCCGCAGACGGCCCGCCTCCAAGAGGCTTCCCAAGAGGGCCCCGAGTGGCTAAACTTGTTGATTGCCCCTTGTGGTTTTCGATGTTGTGTTTTTTTTTGTTGCTTTCTCGCCTTTTCGGCTTCCCGACGCTCTGAGACGGCCCAAGCCCCAAGAGGCCCCAAGGGGCCCCCAAGACGGCCCGACGACGGCCCAATACGGCCCCAAGATTGCCCATTCTGGTTCCAAATACAACCCAAGAGCTCTTGGAGCCCTAGGGCTCCAAGACGGCACCAAGAGGGGCCCAAGAGGGCGACGAACAATTCAAACATTCAAGTCGCCCCCAGGGGCCCCAGGGTGCCCCAAGGCCCCCAAGACGCCCCAAGCAGCCCCCAAGGCCCCCAAACGACCTTGCAGATGCCCCAAAACGCACCCCAAGAGGCTTCAAAACTGCCTCCCAGAAACCTCCGAAAGGCTTAACACGAGACCCAGACACACATTCGGTACCACTTGAGGCATATTGCCGACATACACGTTAGGCATACTGGCGACGCGCCTCAGATGGTACCCGATCGGAACTACTTGAGGCATACAACGGACATGCCTCAAGTTGTATTGATTCGATGCCACTTGAGGCATACTGCCGACATGCCTCCCTCGGTCCAGAATGTGAGATTGTCGAGCTTTCGGTCCACCACCGCCCCGCGACGGCCCAAGCGCCTCCAACGCCATCCAATGTCCACGAATCCAGGCACGGTGGCGGAATGGGCCGAAGGCCATTATATAACCAAATTCAGTTCCGCGCATGTATGCACGCGTGTCGTATGAAGCGATCGCCCCACGCACCGCGCGCCGATCAAGAGGCGCACGCGCCACCGTCCTCGCCCTGGCCCGAGCGACCAGCGCGCCCTTGCGCGCGTGCACCCCTGGCTCATGAAGCGCGCGGGCGCTGACCTTCATGAGCTGCATCGCGATTCTTACGTTTCGCAGCGGGGGCTTGAGGCGATTCTGAAAAGGGTGAGGGCGGACGGGCTCCCCAGCGCGAGCAGCTCGCGCTCGCAGCTCCGAGCCCGCCATGCGTTCACTAGTGAGCCAACGCCATACGGCCCTGTGGCGCAGCCGATGGAGCTCACTCTAGAGGACAGGACTGTTGGAATTGCATTTGTCAATCACCCGTTTGCCCTCTTTGATCGTACCGTTCGGGAGTGCGCTCCGTTCAGGCAAATTATGAAGGCAAAGTTGGCGAAGTTCCCCAGCTCCCCGAGTACGCCGTGGAGGCTCATCATATACTTCGACGAGGTCAGCCCCGCGAACCCACTTGCATCCAAGAAGGACCCACGCAAAGTGCAGAGCTTCTACTGGACGTTCGCTGAGTTTGAAAATCTTGTTCATCGGGAGGAAATGTGGTTCATTGTTACATGTACTCCGTCGCTCATTGTCGAGACCATGGACAGCGGCATGTCGCAGTTAGTCAAGCATGTACTGAAACACATGTTTTTCAATGACGAGTCTCATCACCTGACGAAGACAGGCATTTGCTTGGATTTGCGCGAGAGCGAAAACGATACCAATGATTTCACCAGGCTCTTTGCGCGTCATTACGGGACATTGGCTGACTTCAATGCTATCAAGGAAGTCCTCGGTAGCATGGGCCACCGAGGCATCGTGCCATGCCCTTTGTGCCGAAACATCGCCAAGGACGGTAGATTCGGGCACCTCCCGTTGGACAATTTGGAGTGCCACCTTTGGGAGCCGCACTCGGACGCTTCTGTGCGAAACTTGCGGGGAGAACTGATGGTTGCAAAAACTGTTTTGGGTAAGACTGCTTACGCAGAGTTGGAGACCAGGAAAGGGTTCCACTACGGGCCCCACTACCTCACTGCTGATGCCGCCATGAAGCCAATCAGCACCACCATGTACGATTGGCCGCACATATATTTCATCACTGGGCTTTTCGAGTACGATCTCGATGAATTTATGCACAAGGCCAAGGCGGCTGCGGGGAGGAACAAAAAGGGCCTGGTGGAATACACAGACCTGCACGCGTACATGCAGCAGTGGACGTGGCCTCGGGAGTACAAGAGAACGGCTGAAATCTTCGAGACCAACAAGCTGGCCGCCACTGCGAGCGAGCAGCTGTCAGCGACACCAGTCGTACAGAGGTACTTCTCCAACGTGGTTGCAAAGGAGGAGAGCCTTGCCGCCCTCCACGGTGCAGCGGAATCAGTTTCGCTCTGTTGTGAGAGCATAGAGATGCTGCAATGCGCATCGCGCAAACAGGTGTCCGCGGTCCAGCTGCATGATTGCATCATGAAGCACTTGAATAAGTTTCGCGACGTGCACGGGCGAGGGCCCTGGCAATTCAAGCACCACCAGGCTGCTCATCTCGGTCCGCAGTACCGAGATTTCGGTTGCCTTTTCGACACGTTCGTCACCGAGCGAAGGCATAAGGACCCGAAAAAGTTCGCAATGAACCGCCAGTCGAGAGGCAGATACTACACCAGGGGTCTCATGGAGGAGCTGTGCTGCCAACATTTTGCAGACCTTAAACAATTCTCGACGCACGTAAGCGGCAACTGGAGTGCGTTGCCGAAGGCGTTGCGCATGCCAGTGGGGAAATGTTTCCGCGCGCAGCCAATATCGAGATATCTGGCACTTTCGTTGCCGAATCGGGCGCGAAGTTTAGCAATTTGGATGTCGTCCTGCTTGGTGGCGACAAGCGCCGACAGTGCGGGCAAATCTGGTATAATTTCTGCGTTGACGGCACTTACTGGACGTGCATCTCCATGTGGGAGTTTAGAAAAGCAGACGGCCGATATGCTAAATATAAGCGGGCTGAAAAGCCAACCCTAGTCTTGTCCAACGAGTTGCTGGCCCACGGAATTTGGCGATCAGGCGCCGACGGGGCTGTTGCAGTTATATGGCCGCTGCATTATATGTTTGCATGCGGTTTGATGTAAGTCGATGCGCTCTCACGCCCTGTGCCTCGTGAGATCCCCAACCGCACCACCACAACCGACGAGCCCAGAAAATCTTCAAATCCGCATGGTATATTCGGTTCCCGAGCAATTATGTTATCATCGGCGCACACAACATCGAAGTGTGAATCCAATCAGCCCGTTTCCTTTTCCAACGAGGTTTGCCTTCCCTGCGTCTGGGCGGGCTTACCTGCGAGGAGTTAGAACGTCCTTGATGGCTCGAGATGGCTCCAAGACGGCCTCTGAGAGCCCGAGCTTCCAATATGGCCAAATATACTTCAAGGTGGCTCGAGATAGCATCCGACACGAACCAATACGGTTTCAAGTGCCCTCCAACCCCCCGCGTTCAAACCCACAGAGGCCAAATTTGCACCAACACCAAAGCAAAACAAATGTTTTTTGGTGCGTTCGCTTTTTCGCTTCCGATGGGCTCTTGAGGCGTCAAGATGACCCCGAGATGGCCCAAGGGGCCCCAAGAGGGCCCCAATGGCGTCCAAGAGCGCGAGAGCGCCTTTTTTGGAAGCTCCTAGGGGTGGGTGGGTGGAATTAAGCCCCCCTCTTTTTGCACAACGGTGGCCACTGCTCCAAGAGGTCCCCTATGCCACCAAAAAGAATTTAAGATCCCCCCCAAGACCTTCCAAACGAGCACCACATGGCCCGAAGATCCCAATACTTCCGAGAAAACGCTTCCTAGGCGGTTGTGACGCTGCCTGATTTCACTACCACCGTCAGCACCTGCATCAATAGCAGCATCACTACAACCACCAGCAAGAGCACTTGGCAGCAGCGGTAGCACCAGCAACACCGCCACCACCGTCAGCAGCAGCACCAGCAGCAGCACCTAGCAGCAGCAGCAGCAACAGCACTAGCACTATCAGCAGCACCAACATCACCACCATTAGCAGCAAATGCATTAGCAGCAGCACCAGCAGCACCAGCAGCACGATAACCATCGCCAGCATCAGCCAAAACCAGCAGCACCAGCAGCAGCAGCAGCACCACCACCACCACCAACAGCAACACCAGCACCATCAGCAGCACCACAGCAGCGCCAGCAGCATCACGAGAACCAGCAACACCAGCAGCACCCGCAGCAAAACTACCAGAAGCAGCAGCACCACCAGCACCCACAGCACCACCAGCGGCAATGACACCAGCAGCAGCGCCAGCAACACCTGCCCAGCAGCATCAGCACCACCAGCACCAGCACCAGCAGCAGCGCCAGCAGCACGAGAATCAGCAACACCAGCAGTAGCACCAGCAGCAGCAGCAGTGCCAGCAGCAGCAGCAACAGCACCAGCAGCAGCACCCGCACCCTTCGCTACCAGAGATCTCCCCCATTCAACAGTAGTGCCCGCGCTGTTTCACTATGGATGGGCTGGTGGGGATACGCGAAGTGTCAAGAATTTCGTTTAAGTTAGCATTGAAATTATAGGCGCGAACAACAGAAACAGAAATTTAATCAGGTTAACATCATGCGCACGAATGTAATTACAACCTGCGGAAATCTTGTTCCGAACATGGAAATATACGAATCCAGATTGCATGCTGAAAAAATCGACCTCCGAACATGGAACTCACAGAAAACATGTTAGCAAAATCGCAAACAGTTTGGAACCAAAACCATTGAAATTTAGAACCCACTGGCTACTTACGGGCTACTTACGGGCTACTTACGCGGCTACTTACGGACTACTTACGGGCTACTTACGGGCTACTTACGGGCTACTTATAAGTTACTTATAAGTTACTTATAAGTAGGCCGTAAGTTCATAAGTTACTTATAACTAGCATAAGTACTTATAAGTACCCCCGCCGCGCGCAGCTGGGTGCTACCGGGCGCCCAGGCGCCCAGGCGTGCGGGCGCCAGAAGCGCCGGGAACGCCCGCGCCCGCGGACGCCCGGGCGCCCGGGAAACGCCCGGGCGCTGGGAGCGCCCACTTTGGTGATGGCGTTGACATATGAGATCTATGTCAGATGAAGTCACTTATAAGTTACTTCAATTATATATGAAGTTAGTTGTAAGTAACTTGAAATCACTCATAGTGAGATATGTTAAGGTCCTGCAACTACCATCCACATCTAACTTAATTCATTAACATATATACTTAAATCACATGTAGAACATATGTTACTTGTGTGCACCCAATTGCCATACTTATAAGTTACTTGTAGTTATACTTATAAATAAGATAAGTTTAAGTCCGATAAGTCTGCTTTTTCGTCTGCTTTTTGAAAAGGGGGTCGGAAACCGAAAAACGCGCAGGTTTTCTTCAGCACAGTGTTTCGCCAGGCGCCAGGCGACCGAGCAGGCCGTTCATCACCGAGCTCAACCCGCGCAGCCTGGGGGGTAGGAGAGAGGGGGCGGGAATGGCGGGGGGGGGATCGGGAGGGGATGCCATGCGCATTGGCGGCACACCGCCCGCACTTCTCATCGCGGCGCGTTCTGATGTGATTCGTTTCGGCGGCCCACCGCCCACGTCTTGCAAATTCTGAGCAGTTTTATTGCATTGGCGGCGCACCGCCCATCGCTATGTTTTGCCCGCGTATTGCAATTTGTACGTTTTGCACATGTTGATTGAAGTTTCGTCGCGTTGGCGGCGCACCGCCCACGTTCCCTTGATTGCGCGAATCGTTTCTTCACGCATCGGCGGAGCACCGCCCACGCAGCACGTTTCATCCGAATTCGTCATCGAATTTGGCGGTAAACCGCCCACGTCCCCGTGATTGCGCGATGCGTTTCTTTCGCGTTGGCGGTGCACCGCCCGCGGCGCATGCTTCGCCCGAGTTTGTCATCGCATTTGGCGGCCCACCGCCCACGTCACCTTGATTGCGCGAGGTGTTTCTGCATTCGTTGGCGGTGCACCGCCTTCGGCGCACGTTTCATCATATACCGCTTGTTTGGTCGCATTGGCGGCGCACCGCCCAGGAGGGGGGGGGAGGGGAGAGGGGGGAGGAGAGGATAGCAGAAGGAAGACGTGAAGGGCCATGTCATTTCCCTTCGCCACAATACGCTGCCCCTGTCCCACCGAGCGCTTCTGGAGGGGCCGCGGGGCGGGCGCCCCCCGACGCGCCGCGGCGCGATGGAGCGCGTCCAGGCTGCCCTGGGCGAGGCAGCCGCGGCGCTTGCAGCGGCGAGCGGGCCTTCCAGGGGCGCTGCAGAGCAGCTGCACTTCGGGAAGGTGCGCGCGCTCATCGAAGGCCAGAGGTGAGGCTCGGGTCAAAGATCCCGTACGGGCGAGAGGCCATCCGTTCCCCCTTCGAGGAGGTCCCCGCCTCCGTTCGGCGGAACGCCGCCCGCTCCCCCCTCCTCCCCGCCGTCTAACATTCCCCCGTCGTTTTGCAGGTGGACGGCCACGGAGAAAGGGCAGCTGCTGACCCAGCTCGGGCAGACGGGGTTCAGTCACGATTTGGTCGGCGCCGCGACCGAGTGGCTCTGCGGGAGGCGCGCGAAGGCCAAAGGGCAAAGTTACGAGTGCTTCGTGGAGTTGCTGACTGCCTCCACGTGGCACGTGCTGCTGAGCCCAACCGAGTCGTTCGCTTCGAAATTTGTCATGTTGATGCGCCACTTGGAGCGCCTCGGGCTCCGGAACCCTTCCGAGCCGACGTTTGGCATGCTAGCCGCGTTCATGTTCCTGGCGTGCCAGCGATCAGGCATCGAGAAGAATTCGCCGACTCCGCAGCTCTTGGACGTGTACTTGCAGTTGGTGAAGACCACGTGGCGTTCCCCTGCCTACACAGCTGCTCGAGGCAAGGCAACCGAGTTTGTCGGCGCGCTCTCCCCCTCGGCGGCGCTGTTCCAGCAGGAGAGGCCGACGCTGAACGAGCAGGCGTTCGCCTCGGAGGGGCCCGTGCAGCCGACAATTGGGCTTCTCGAGACGCAGGTCCTCGGGAAGCTCATCAGCTTGCGCGGCAACAGGAACGCAGCGCTCGGCGCCCAGGCAACGCCGCGGCGGGCGGCGTTGCCGCCGATCGCCTTCGCGCCTCTGCCGCCGCCTTCTCCGATGCAAAGCGTTGCGGTTGCAGCCGCGACGATTGCCGCGACGCCTCCCTTGGGGGCCGCGACGCCAGCGGCGTTGCCGTTGGGGGTGATCCCAACGCACAACACCCGCGGCGGGTGGCCGAACCCAGCGGCGGCCGCCCTCGTCTCGCAGCGCGGGCCGACGACTCCCACTCCAGCAGCTCCCGCGGGCAAGCCTGCCGCGATGTCGGGAGCGGCGCCTGCGGCCGCGGCCTCAAAGTTGGGTGGTGGCGCCAAGGTCAAGGCATCGGCCGTTGACGTCATGGTGCTGAGCTCGAGCGAGTCCGAGGTGGACGCGAAGGGGGCGCCGCAGAAGAAGGCAAAGGTTTTAGGACGGTAGCCTGGACCCGCCTCCGCGGCCTCCGCGATTCACGGGGGCGCGCCTCTGCCCAAGGCAGCGGCGCGCCCTCTGCGGGGCGTCGCAGGCGCGGCGATTGGTCATTGCCACTTGCCGCTGTCAAGGTGGATCCGAAACTGCCGCTGGCGAAG